ATCGAAGCGGCTGTACAGCAGATGAACTTCACCCTCGGTCAGACCTCGGATTGGGTCCACATCATCCAGAGGAAGACGAACGAGGAGACGTTGACGCTCCAGAAGATTGTGACGGACTGGCAGGATTACACCCGTCTTTTTGGCACTCTGAGGGTGACCTCCTCCAAAACGGCCGAGCTGGTCAAGAGCCTCCAGACCGGCGTGAGCGTTGCTTCGCAGAGGATCGGCCAGAACTCCGAAGGCATGCACGACCTGGTCGTCCAGGTGATCAGCTTGCAGTGGCAACTGGACAATATCTCCTCCTTCCTGGATGACCACGTGGAAAACATGCACGACCTCCAGTACCACACCCGGTACACGCAGAACCGGACGGCGGAGCGCTTTGAGACCTTAGAAGGCCGCATGGCCTCCCACGAGATCGAAATCAGCACCATCTTCACCAACATCAATGCCACCGACAGCCACGTCCACAGCATGCTCAAGTACCTGGACGACGTACGGCTCTCTTGCACGTTGGGCTTCCACATGCATGCTGAGGAACTCTATAACCTGAACAAATCAGTCAATGGCATGCTGAGCAGCACAGACCGCCTGAGGGAGCGCTTCAGCTTGCTCAACGCCCGGCTGGACTTTGACATCCGCAACCTTTCCATGGTCATGGAAGAGATGAAGACCGTGGACACTCGCCATGGGGAGATCCTCCGGAACATCACCATCTTACGAGGTGAGGAATAAGACACAGCTGGGCAGGTGTGAGGATGAGAAGGGTTACTCAATGGCATGCTCCCAAAGCATGGGGGACTTCAGAGGGACAGCATCACAAGCTAGGTTCACAGTCCCTGTGTTTCAGTGACGTATGTACGTGGGCATTGGTTAAAAATGCAGGTAGCAAAAGTTGGTCGGTTGGTTGGTTGGTCAGTCGATGGGACTGAGGACCACCTCTTCACTAAGCATAACACCAGGTATGTTCAGCAACCTGACCTGGTGCAACCTGGATAGTAAGAGTCCACAAAAATCAGATGGATTTTTGATAAATTGCTTTCAGAATAAAAAGCAAATAGCACTTTAAACTTTGCGCTATTTCACAATCTGAAGGGAAAAAAAGGAACAAACTACAGGTGTAGGGTTGCAGGCAGCCCCTCTTCCTTATCCAAAAATAATCCTAGCAAAAAAAAAGGGTGGTTCAGCCACACCTGAAAGTCTCCCAGAGCAGTGATTCCATTTTTAAACAGGTCATTTATTTATCGATTTCCCACCCAGAACTGAGACCCAAAGTAGCTTATAGGTCAGACGCCCCACACTCTTTAACAACACACAAACACTGATTTCTCAAGATGGGAAGCAAACTTCCATCCATTTCCCAGGTGTGCTTTTTACACGTTGGTTGGGGTATTTGGGGAGAAAGGGGTTTTTGTGGCTCCAAGGGGAGGATGAGGGCAGAAAATCTGGCCCCGGGACCGCCAACGTTGCCCTCCCACTGCCAAGTGCCTTTCCCAGCCTGGTTGGTGCCCGTCGGGTCGACCACATGCCGTTCCTCGACATGCGGCTGGTTAGGGGGTGAGGAATGTCATGGTTCCAACCAATCCACCTAGAAGGGCATCGGCTTGGGAGAAGCTAGCCTAAAGCATAAGAAAAGGAATGGGGGGGGGGAAGCTTGGAGCTAAGTGGTTTCGTAGACTGCAGAACCAGAAGCTGGGAGTTCGATTCCCCACCCGGGCCTCCTTGACAGAGGCGGGACTCCGTGAGCTGAAAGGTCCCTTCCAGCTCTGCCGTTCTAAGATTATTATTATTACTATAAACTGCTGGAGGGGAGTTTGATTCCCCCCCCCCACTGGGCCTCTGGAGAGAAAAGCCAACCTATGTGGGCTTGGGCAAGCTGCCCAGTAGCCCCAGGGAACTCCCAGAACAAGAGGGGGGGGGAACCACTTCTGAGTGTTCCCTACCTAGGAGATCATGCAAAGGGTTGCCGTAAGTTGGAATTGACTCGACAGGGTTCAATTACTATTCTTAACCTGCCAAGATTCCTTATCTGGTTGCTCCAAATGAGCTTTCCTAGCCACAAGTGAACCAGGATTTACAATTCTGTGTCCCAACGGCATTTGGGAAAGCCGACAAGTGAATGATTACACGAGACCTGGTTCGTCATGGGTCTCAAACCCTTCAAAAACTTTTGCTCTTCCTTCTCTGAGAAGGCTGGTTTTCCAGAGAGGGACCAGCTGATGCCAACAGAAGATCCAGACGACCCTGGATGACCCTTCTGGCAGGGGTGGGCCCTTTCCTGTGTTTCCCTTCTTGGTTTTGAGGGGTTGCAGGTCTGAACCTTCAGAGCTCCGGCCGTTCAGCTGCAAAACCCAAACAGACAAGTGGCAGAGGCATTGGGGGCCAAAAAAAGAGTCAGATATTTGTTTGAGCCAGATTGGCTTCTTTAGTTCCAGACTCGCTAAATCTGGAGGAGCTACAAAATCTTGCTTGAAAATAAACAGCAAACGATCTCAGCGCTGTTAGAGCTCTTGGCAACGTTGGCTGTTTCTGGGTTTTGAAATGGGTTGGCAAGGTGGGTGTTTTGTTTTGTTTTTTCAAGAGCACTGAGCTGTCCTCGAACACATGGAAAGGTCTGGGGTGGCATCGGGCTGGTTTGGACTACAAATCCCAGAATCCCCTGGGCAGCCAAGCCCATGTGCCCTCCAAGAATGGAGGAAACCTAGCCTTTCCAGCTGGTCTTCCTGGGGGGGAGCCCGTGCTCCCCAGGGGATGGGCACAGTCTCGTCAGACACGCAGCCCCCCCTTCCCTCCCTGTTCCTCCTTCCTTTCCCCAGGTGTGCCGGTCAGGTGAGCCAACAGGACAGGGCAGCTCCAGGTACCCTCCCACTAATCGTGGCTCTTGCGCCGCAGGCAGGACCGTGGGCATCATCCGTTCGGATGCCGGATTCTGGACTTTGGACCGCAGGGCTGGTTCCCGGGAGAGTTCCCAAACAGGGAAGGGTGGGCGGCTGCAGGGGGTCGAAGCAAGTGACCGATGCCCCGAGTCACCTCTCAGCTGCACCTTAGGATCCAGGCGCCTGGCTGCTCTCTGTGAGCTGTGAACTCTGCAGATGCTCAGAAAGCCTTTTCTGCTTCACACATACTAAGGCTAAGTTCTGAAACAAAGTGTATAATCCTGGGACCAAATGAAGCCCTTGACCGGGAGAAGGGAATGCCAAAATG